CAAACACCAAACCCTCCTCGCTAGGAGTTACAGCTCAGCATGTAACTGCTAACTGCAGACAGTCGCCAGACCTAGAGCAAAGATACTGCCCCATCCAACAGATCCATACAGCTCGTTCAAAATCCACCTGATGAAGCTACCAGTATTAATTTCATACCATTGGATCTGCAGATTTTCCTTACCTTGGAAGACTGGGGGGGTGAGGTTTGGGTTTATTAGGTAATAAAGGCTTTGATTCTGTAAGAGTAACTCCATGAGAATTTTGGTGCAGCTCCTGGGAAGTTTTAGTAGGTGAGGGATGTGGTTCCCTGAGAGGGGGCATCTGCTGATGATGATCCGAATGTCGAAGAAGTTCCTTTTCCCTGGTTTTGCTTTTGTGCTCGGCTAATAACACATCAAATCGTTTTCTCCGACCCTGTACAGCCCTCCGCTGGGTTAAGGAATGTGTCTGCAAAACCATGCATAAATCATTAATCCCAGGCTATCAGATTTGTGGAAAACCAAACACTCAAAACAGGTGTCTAGAGCTCTAAAACAGAGAAAATCATCACACTCATTATTTAGTAAACAAATGGAAGAATGACTTGGAAAACAAACTTTAAGATTGCTTGCTGGATGCTTATATCCCCCTCTGATACAAAATAACAAAAACAGCAATTGAGCAAAAGGCTTCTTTCAAAATTTTTTTTAAAAAGGACTTGCCAAAGTTCTTATAAGGTTAAGACTAGAATTGAAAATCTTTTTTACATTTATATTTTAATTGCCAACTAGTGCACAACCAAAAATACTAAGTATTATTTTCACTTACGAAAATATTTAACACAACGTTTAAAATCAGACTTTTAATGGGAGACGTGAAAAATATTTATAAAAATACTTTGCTTCCTTCGGTATACTAATATATTCCTTGAAAACTAATGTAATCGAATAGATATTAAGGAATGCAAAATAATACAGCAGGATCCACAGTCAGACAGAACTCAAAGTCCTTCGAGTGTCCTGAATGCCACACATAGTAAGATGTGTGTGTGGATATATGGCACAAATTCTAGGTAAAGCGAAATAGATGGAAGTTATTTTTCTGAACTGTTACAAGTCACATACAGTATCTTTTTTTCATATGGCACAAAAGGTTTGATTGGGTTCATTTTAATAGGTAAGAATTATTATCACATGATTCAGAAACAAACAGCAATTCCCAAAAGTATTTTAGGAGTAGGTATAATAAAAGGAATTGCTGAGAAACATTTTTACTTTCTTTCTCTTCTGCACTTTTGATTTGCCTAGTTCTCTTGTAAAATCTTGAAGCTTTTCCCTCCTCTATTAGCAAAACAATTGCCTCCCCCCTGTAATTCCAAAAGGGCAATGTGTTCAGGTTCAGTTCCTCTGGGTCATCAGTACCAGCTTCATTTACCTTTGTTCTGTAGGTGGTTTATTTACCAGATGCTTCCCCTACTGACAGTTTAGCTGCTTTGCAGGAAAGTAGCTAAATATTACACAGTTGCAGGGGATCTGGATTTTTGTTTCCTCGAGACTAAGCGATACCCCTCTGTCCCCCAAGGTTTTTGAGACAGAGGGAACATTTCATCTGACCAACAGTTTTTACAGACTGTTTAGTTTGGAGTTTGACCTCTAGGCATACTCCGTGGCTTTTTCAGAAGACTCGTTTCTGAGCTGGCTGTAGTCGTACATCAAGCAGCATTAGCATTTACCCAAATACCTCCTAAGTATCTGCTGCAGACTCTGCAGGGGGGAAAGGAAGGGGTGTGAGAGGGGAGGAGCTCGATTTATTTGAGTCCTGCATAAACAAATAATACTTTTAATGCTTGTGAGGAATTTTAAAATTCATGATCTAGGACTCGAAGGTTATCCCCCAAAAGAACATCATGCTGGCCCCCTACTACCTACATGTGGAGTAACATCACCTGCCCCATGTCAACATCCATGTTTAAAGGGTTTATACAAAAATACAAATCTTCAGGTTACTTTAAGGAATACGTTTTTGAATAAATAATTAACTGAACTTTGAAAACGATTCCTTCTTGGTTCCGGACAACATGTTTTGAGAGGTACCATTTACGGTGGTAATTACTGACTGCAAAAATTTGTAGTTTTCTGTTTTCTGTCACATTTATCAGGAAATTGAATTAAGACTTTACATAATCTTATTCTGATTAAGTTATCCTACCTTGCACGTCAAAGACCTAGTACAAGGTTTCCTGGTTTCCACATCAATGACACCACAGTATATATCAGGATCAAATTCTCTCTCTGTCAAAGGCACACAGTATTGAAAAGTTATCAAAAGACATTTTGAAATACTAACAGTTATTTTCCTTATAAAAATTAACCATATTGGAAAGTGTTTTCAAAAGTAACACAGGCAAATGTAAAAATAAAAATGCACAATAAAATTGTACAAACAACATTTTGTACACTGTCAGCAAGTTTATGGTGTGCTGAAGTACAGATCTCAAGTCTACAAGCAGCATGGAGAAATTTGCAGCTGTAAGGGACCCCAACGGAGAAGTAGATCCTGCACGTTAGGATTAGAGGTCATCATCAATATGAACTGTGACAAACAAACGGTGTCTTTTTGTTGTTGGTTTTGGTGTTAAGAACTTTTTCTACCATTCTACTAACACTCAAGAGTTACTGTGTTTAAGAAATGTAAAGAGCAGACCGGGTTTACATTTCTGAGCTTATGAGGTGCTAGTTGTTTTGTTTTCTATGTACATTTGGACCTTGCATATAGAAAGGAGGAAAAGAAAATCTTTGAAGATAGTAGAAGAGCATAATTTTAAAACTGTAAGAACTGACAGGCTTTTGAGGTCTGTACGGTTTCTGAAAGCAACAGCCACATTTCAAGATGTTCGCATCCTTTAAGAGTATGTCAAGTGACAGATTTAAATTCTAATATATAAAATGTACCTAATTATTAGTTACAGTGTTATAAAAGTGTTTAATTTACTTCTGAAACTTATTTCTATATATTCCATATAGAATGTGTTTCTATAGGTACACTACTTAAGAGGAATATAGCAAATAATAATTAAAAACAATTACCTGACAATCTTTTATGTAAAAATTTCCTATTATTTGTATTTTCTTCAGGTTTCTTTTCCAAAAATGGAGGCACAGAGAGAAGACCTTTACCATTCAGTATCTGTCCAGGGGAAGGCAAGGGTGGCTTTGGTATTGAGGGACAATTAAGGCCAGTCTTTATTGAGGAACTCACAGTAGTAGAACAAGTTGGACCAACAGCAGCTTTCAGTTGGGCACCATCTATCTTTGGATGAATCTTTTCCACTTTGACAGATGGAGTCATACTATTATTTATGAAAAACAAAGGGGGTAAAATTGAAAATTATTGTCATAAATTGTAAAAAGTACTTAAAATATGTTATTACTCAACAACACGCTGATCTATTCACAATGCACATGTAGACCTTCCTCCTTTATTCTCAGCTTTCTTACTCTTTTTTTTTTATTTTCACATTTTTTTATGATGTCCATAATCTCTGCAGTCCTCTTTTCCTCATTTCCTTGTTAAGTATTTCAGAGAGTCATCAGGGACTTCATAAACTGTTACTTGGAGTCACAGATACAACATATCACCAAAGCAACTGGAATAGGCCTGTTACGTCCAGTGAGAAATGCCCTGTTCTGTGACAGTAACTTATATTATCAGTTCTGCAATCTCACGTGTGCAGGTCAAAAATCACCTGAATTGGAGCTAAAACTCCTTCACGATCAAACTATGCAGATTAGATCAAAGAATTAAGAGCCCCTAGTAAAATGACCGTTATTTATAGTGATTTAAGATGCAGCTTTGCAAGAGTTCTTAGTAACTATCTCTTAAACTAAAAACCCTCTGAGACAAAAGGAAATTCTACTGATAACAGCAGTGTCTATGCAAGTAATAACATTTCACTCTTTGTCAAAATGCGTACTTACATTTTATCATGGGGAACTTTGCTATGCTGTACCGAATGCATTAACCTGTTGTTTCCGCTGATCTGCAGCTTGTCTTTGGGTGATTTCAACAACTTGGAATTTGATGATGATGCACTAGTACCTCCACTGGATGAACGATTGCTCCCACTTCCACTGCTACCTTTGTTTTTTGAAGGGAAAGATGAAATGAGGGAAAATACTGAAGAGGAGGGAGGAGTCAAAGGCGGCTTGCTGGAGGAGCTGTGTCTTCTTTCTGAAAAGGAGGGGAAAAAAGGGTTTTTTTTAGCTCCCATACAGAAACAATTGTTAAATACTTCATGTTGTCATTCATCCCATTAATGTTTTTCCTTTACTGGTTTGGGAGGTCCCCTGCCACACACAGAGCACAGAGGATTCAAGTCTCACTGTAATCCATGAGGCTCCACTCATTGCTGGTCCCCAGGCGGTTACGAGAGTCTATTTTAAATTTGGGAGCTACATTCCTTAGCCACTAAAGCTTAGCTTTTAATTACACTCCCCACTCTCTTTCCATCTTAAAAGAACAAGGAAGTGAGAATCAGACCTAGACCTCAGACACAAAAAGCAGGGACACCCCTATCTTCAGGCCAAGCAAGATTGAATATATTTCCCCAAAGGATAACAATTATCTGTAAGTACATCTCCTAATGGTCAAAATTATATTGAAGCCAACATTTTAACTTTCATTTCATGACAACCTTTTGGCATTGTCTACAAGACCTTCAGTACAGAATGCCCCTGAGAACAGCAGCTCAAATATTGACTTACATTGGGTTTTGGGGTGTTGTGGTTTTTTGTTTTGTTTTGTTTTCCTGCTATTAATTCTATTTTTTTTTTCATAGTATGACCAGTTTAGAGAGGATTTCTATTTAGGAATTACATCAAAAGGAGCAACAGGTATTCTTCTACCAAAAAAATTAATATCTGAACATCTGAATTAAGAGTAGTCAGGTACCATCAATGAATGTGTTGGAAAAATAATTATTTAATTAACATTAAAGCATTAACATTAATGCATTGCTAACACCATTTCAGTTAGCGTACTGCATATTATAAAGGTAGTTCTTTGGAACAACGAATTCTCAGTCACAAAACACCTGACAGCTTCAGGGAGTACACAGCTCTGCCTACACATGGACATGTTAAATGACTGTTTGCTCCACTGATACTTGGTCACCTGTGATTCCTCGATGATCTCTGCAGTCAACACCTGCTTAAGAGACATGTCTGGGAATCAAATATACGCAAACCACAGATCTAAGAGAGAACCAAGAATTAGCAGGTCCCTCAGGGGAGTGGAAAGGCATCTTTCTCCTCCGCAGCAGTAACACCTCTTTCTCAGACAAGTATTGTTAAAGGTGCCCAAATCCAGCACCCATCCCAGGATCCACTTACAGATTTTGACTTAAGTTTACTTAAACTGTGAAAGAAGCAGGGTACTCATGAAGTTACAGCAACTACAGCCAAGAGTGAAAGTCAAGTCCAGTGCAACCTGTATGGATGTCTGTAACGCTCCAGAAAGTGTAAATTAATACATCTGCGTTCTGCTTATATGACCTATGTCCCGCCCCAATCCTAAATACAGCAATCATATGCCACCCAGATGACCAAGCAGGACTCCGTTTGTAGCTGGAAGCCATCAAACAAGACAGCACCAAGGTCGCCGGGCACACCTCGGCTCCCGCAAGCAAGGTTGTAACAGAGCGCAACAGCAATAGCCAGGGGACAAGAGCCGAGCTGCTCCAGCGGCGCAAGAGGAAGACACAGCGGTCTAACACCTGGCAAGCGAACTCCTTACACAGGTGGGGAAGCACCATTTTAAATATGTTCATTAGCTCGGGCTGGGGAAAGAAAAAGAAGCAGCACAGAGTTTAGACTAGGAAACTCCAGTCAAGAAATTATCCCCAAGACTGAACCAAGTGATGTGTGTTTCTATGGTTAGCTGCAAAACGGGCACAAACTACCTAACAAACCTTCAGCAGGAGACATCAATTCG